AATCAGCATATTAGAATGATTTCTGAAGATCATGTGACACTGAAGACTGGAGTAATGATGCTGAAAATACACATCACAGAAATAAATGACAGTTTAACACATATTCACATACACAACAGCTGTTTTACATTCTAATAATATTTCACAATTTTTACAGTATTTTGATCAAATAAATGCAGAAGAGACGTCTTTAAAACACATGACACTTTTGACTGGAAGTGTACACTACAGAACCAGCGTTCTCATGATAAACAATCATTATGCAAGACCTCCAGGAGTTGAGCGAGAGCAGAATGTGATGCAATATTAATGGTCAGATGTTGTCATCCACAGATGAGTCCACAGAGACGGCATTAATAAGCCCCGGCGGGACGCTCGTTTGACTAATGAATTACCCTCAGGCTGGCACTGCAGCAAGCGCCGTCATCCACACAACCGTTTCATCACAAACCTCATTTGTAGCATTGCAAACGCTTCTATGAGCTTTGATGGTACAGTATATATATTACACACAAAAAATAAAATGGTGTAGAAACAATTTCCACTCAGAAATGTGACAGAAAATCACAAAGAAACTGACCCTGGAGCACAAAAGCAGTCTTAAGTCGCTGGGGTATATTTGTAGCAATAGCCAACAATACATTGTATGGGTCAAAATTATACATTTTTCTTTTATGCCAAAAATCATTAGGATATTAAGTAAAGATCATGTTCCATGAAGATATTTTGTAAACTTCCTACCGTGAATATATCAAAACTTCATTTTTGATTAGTAATATGCATTGCTAAGAACTTAATTTGAACAACTTTAAAGATGATTTTCTCAATATTTAGATTTTTTTGCACCCTCAGATTCCAGATTTTCAAATATTGTCCGATCCTAACAAACCATACATCAATGGAAAGCTTATTTATTCAGCTTTCAGATGATGCATACATCTCAATTTCACAAAATTGACCCTTATGACTGGTTTTGTGCTGCAGGGTCACACATATATTTTACAGAGCACCTGCTGGAGCTTATAAAACATGTAAAGCCTTCAAAATAAAAGAAATAATGACTGTGTAAGAGAAACTCACGCCTCGGTTCTCTGGCTCTGGACGCTGTCCTTGCGGTCGTGGAGGAGTTCTCTCTCTGAAATCATAACGCAGAATTACTTTGTGTTGTATATTTCAATCAATGAAGTACTGGTGTGTAGATATCACAGGTTAAGTCACATTTATTAATTTAGCGCTTTATACAATACAGACTGATTCAAAGCAGCTTCGCAGAGGACAAAAAGAATGTTAATGTTGCAAAATTCATCAGCTATGAAACAACAATAGAGTTATTATTCAGATCAATTCATGATCAGTCAATGTTGATTCAGTTTAGTTCAATAACATTTTAGTATGATTGGGATACTATTACAGTTTTTATATTTTAATTTAAATTTTAGTTAAAGTTATAGTAATTTCGCTGAGTGTTTATTTAAAATATATGTCTGTATAGTATTTATTTCAGTTTTAGTTATTTTAGTACATCAAGTAAAACTAAATGAAAATGTGAATTGTTGCCTTGGCAACTAGCTGAAATAAAAAAGTAAAAAAAAAAAAAGGTTTATTTCTTTCAAGCAACAAAAGTGCTTTTTTACTTTTAATCTTAATCTTTTCATTTTAATCTCAGTTGCAGGATTAGTTAACTATAATAACCCTAAACTAAGCGGAAAAAGTGTAACAAAAGATTACAAAAGATTTCTATTTTGAATAAATGCTGTTCTTTTTAACTCTTTATTCATCAAAGAATCCTGTAAAAAAATCAAAAGTTCCAAAAAAAAAAAAAATGAAGTAGCAAAATGTTTCCAGCACTTATAATAAATCAGCATATAAGAATGATTTCTGAAGATCATGTGACACTGAAGACTGGAGTAATGATGCTGAAAATACAGCTGCGCATCACAGAAATACATTACAGTTTAACAGAGATTCACATAGAACACAGCTGTTTTAGATTCTAATAATATTTCACAATTTTTACTGTATTTCTGATTAAATAAATGCACACACATATATACACATCACCTGTTAAGTGAAAATGTACATTATTAGTTTTTGATACTTTTGATACTAGCTTTTATTTTGAAGTCGTAGTCGCGAGTGTGTTTAAAGCAAAGACAGAAGAGGTTCAGACGCACATGATTAAGATTCACGGCTAACAGGAATCTTATCAAGCACCTGAGAACGTTTAAAGGTCAAAACACTGATTTAACGTCATGCCATCCGTTTTATTTGAATTTGTGTCGGATATTTCTTTGGTACATTTGTATTTGATTTGATGTATGTTTAGTTCCTCTTCTATGCAAGCTCTTCCGCGTCATTTAACGATGATCTACAGCTCTCGCGTGATTTATAGTCATGTTTATAAGCTCAAATATCACCCTGCACCTGGGGTCTTGTTGTGCGGTGCTGCCTCTGCCGTACAGCGGGATCACTTTATCTCGACTGATGCCGGCCTTACAAACGGGACACACCTGTCTGTTCGGCCTGGTTTCCAGCCACTGCAAACACACAGAGAGAGACACGGTTAAGTGAATCATACAACGGTCACGTCACGTGATCTCGAGCGATTACTGAACACTCACCTGATGCAAACACGGCCAGCTAGGAGGAGACGGGAGAGAGAAAACAGAGCAGTTATTACCCAGCACTTCACGAGACTTACGTGAGTCGATCAGGTCTCACCAGAAGAGATGTCCGCACAGACTGATGACGGCGTCTTTGGACGTGTCCAGACAGATGTTGCACTCAAACGTGCTGTCCTGAGCGCCGCTGCCGTTCTCTCCGTTCTCTGCTGATGACGCTGAACTCTCTGCGCTGGCCATTCTGCATTCACCTCGAACAGCTCAGCGTCTGCAAAACCTGCACAGAAACACAGCAAAAACTCACAGTCCTCTGCACAATCTGACTTTGCTGCAGCCTGGAACTGAACTGCTGGTTTCTCCCAAGGTTTCTTCTCCATTCTGTCACCGATGGAGTTTTGGTTCCTTGCTTAGTTGGGGACACTTAATATCCAGCAGAGTATATTACCAGAATAGAATGATTCTATTCATACAGATCACTGGGTTTACACACACATATACATATACATATATACACTACCGGTCAAAAGTTTGGGATCAGAACCGGATTCTTTGATGAATAAAAAAGTTAAAAAGAACAGCATTTATTCAAAATAGAAATCCTATGTAATATGAGTCACACTCATAAACATAGCCACGTGTTCAGAGCATCTGTATGTGTGTGTTTCAGTTTGTTCCTGTTGAAGAGTGACCTGCAGTGGAGTGAAGATGCAGCAGATATCCTGGGACAGGGTGGCAGCGGCACCATCATCTACAGAGCCAAATACAGAGGCCATCCGGTGGCCATTAAACGCTTCCACTTCAAGAAATGCAAACAGCAGTCGCTCAACAGCAGCACAGGTACGTCACGCTCCTCTACTGCCCCTGCACTTCCTCCCAAACCAGCCTCTGTTATCTTTATCTCGCCGTGCTGGATCCGCTCGATGAGTGATCGGAGAGTCAGAGGCGATCGGCCGGTGTTCCTGCAGGCACATGTAAGGTCAGAGGTCAAAGCGCTGTCGTTCTACTCAAGTCTCGCAGAGGCTCTGACTGATGGAATTTCCTGTTAACAGAGAAACGTTAATCCTTGCTGGATTTCTCCCGCTGTGTGTCTTTCTCCGATCCAAAACCTACTGAGCTGCAGAATTTAATGAGACTTGTGTTAAAATTAATTCAAGGGAAATTCTCTGAACACATGTTATCATCTTACACAGTTTTGCTTCTTGTAAGTCAAAAATTATGGTGTTATACCAAAAAAAAAATATAGCCATTGCCAAAGCAACCAGTGGGACGAAAGTCATGAATTCTGTGCTTTCAAATACATTTAAAATACTTTACTATAAAATATTTCACGCATGGATACCGGCAGCGCTTCACAAGCTAGTGTCGCCCTGCACATGCTTTTGAAAGACATAATAATAATGTTTATTATTATTGCTATTATTGTTATTTATCTGTTCGCAAAAGGACAAAATAATTTTTATTGACTGTAGTATAGACTATAGTATTGACTATTATGGCATGTAATAATGTTTTGTTTTCCTTTTTCTTTCCTTTTTCATATTTGCTACTGTACTGTATGTATAATAAAAAATAGGCCAGGGGTGGTTCTTGTATATTGATTGTTTTCTCTGGATGTGTCCGGCAGCACAAACTGTGAGGTTAAAAGAGCAGCGGTCAAGGATTAGGCTTTACGTAACACATACTGATCTCTCTCATTAAGCGCTGTAATAAAAATCAAAACCCGTAACTGTTCCCTGACCTGAAAATAAATGTTCTGATTTACAGCTGCAGGGTTTCTACTGGCTCTGGTTATTCGCATGTACTAAAACAGAGCTGGTCTGGGGTCAGTAAACTCTTAATGAGCACCGCTGCAGATTGTGTCCCGCTGCGTCACACATCAGCCTAAAAACTTTGTTTCATGCCGCAACAGTAGCTTGAAATAATACGCAGGAGTCTGAATGCTTTTGAAAGGCGTTTAACGTGCTTTTAGGGATCCAGGAAGCTTTGCACCGTACAGACATGATTTATGATCCATTGGCTGATGGACCACCAGGCTTTGGTGATTTCCGCTCAAATTCGACAACTGACTCCTGGAGAAATGAGGTCTGCTACTTCAGGCCAGTTTTTTCACTGACAGCATTACCTAGTCAAATAAATCATGACCTATACTCACGTCAGTGTGTTTGGGTTTTTCACCATGTGTTTCTTTCAAAGTAGGCCACGGTGTTTTATGACGTCTTCACTATATCGTCTCCTGCTCCAAAACAAACCGGAGAAACTGAAATGAAATCTACAATGAAAACAGTGATGTGCTTCCTTTTACATGTAATGTTTTTTTTACAGTATTATAAAGGGGGTTGGGCATTAGGTGGTCGGGGCAGAGAGAGAGAGTGAGAGAGAGAGAGAAATTGCAAGCTCATAGACTGGATTGAGATGATAACAAAGACTATAGAATACCCAAGATGTGTCATTCGTATAGTTTTGATTGGGGAAAAATGCAATGCTTAATATGGCCGCTCAATCGCAGGAAGTCCCGCCTTCTGAATGAAAGAGCCAATCGCTAATCGGTAAAGTCTGCGCGTCACTGCAGCTGCCGTTAGAAGCATCCTGGTTGCTATAGAAACAGTGAGCGTTCTGAGACGTGCGCTTAGGACTGCGCATGTGCACTGACTGATCTAGCCTGAAAAAATAAGCTTTTTATAACGCTATTTGAGCAAAAGAAACTACATTTGTGACAGTTGTTGTCAGATTTCATTGGTGATTTCAAATATGAATTTAATTGTAAGCTTAGTGAACAGTTTGGGAGAATTTATTGTTTCCTCATACAAAGTTATAGGAGTTATAGGAGTCAAGATCGCTGACGAAGTTTCAATCAAAGCCACAGCAGAACTGTTGTGTCTCCCAGCAACAAACTGGTGTTTCGATACTGAATGAATCCACGGTTTTGAACAAATCAAGTGAGTCAATGATTCAGTAACCCATTCATAGGCCTCATTTACACTGCACTTGCTGAAACAAACCAAAAATAGCATATGTGACATCACAAATTAAACTCAGTGTACTATTGAAATTGATTTATTGACATGGAATTCATATAGAAATGTTTTTAATGCAATATTTACATCTATACATCAAAATAATCATGTATAATTATATAACCATAACTTGAATATGTTTTGGTCAGAAAAATTGTGCCTGTGTCCAAATATATATGGACCTGACTGTACATCTATCTATCTATCTGTCCATCTGTCCATCTGTCCGTCCGTCCGTCCGTAGCTTTGTTAAACAGAAAATACCATGGCATTAATGTTTTTTTTTAATTATTATTATTTTTGGACTTGTACTATGTAAATATCATGGTAAAGTCGGCACCAATAGCCTTGTGGGCAGTGCGCCAACATACAGTTGCGCTACGGGTGTACCGTGTTCGAATCCCGACTCGAGGACCTTTCCCGATCCCTCTCCCACTTCGCTTCCTGTCAATTCTGATCTGTCCTGTCACAATAAAGGCAAAAAATGCCAAAAAAATTCATCTTTAAATATCATGGTAAATTTATGTGGTTTCATGGTATCAAAGTAGGGTGGAATTAACATCCGATACGGTCACCACTGAAGTAAATAATGTGATGAATTGTCACAATGAAACAATTGTTGTTATAGATTCACATGCTGATGTGAGCGTGTAAATGTGATTGTGTTTGCACTCATTATGGATAATTATTCCATGACCTGAGGTGAGAGTCTGAGCCACTCTCTTCAGGCCTGCAGCTCAGTAACAGCATGTTGAACTGGTCTCTTCACAGACACCATGATGAAGCACCTGCAGTCGATGGACGCGGCCCGCAGCTTCTCGGAGTTTCGTCAGGAGGCCAGCATGCTCCACTCCCTGCAGCACCCGTGTATTGTGGCTCTGGTGGGCATCAGCATCCACCCGCTCTGCTTCTCCCTGCAGCTGGCGCCGCTGGGCAGCCTCAACACCATCCTGGAGGAGCGAGCCAAAGGTGTGACGCATGACCATCAACACGGGAATTAGCCTGTGTTTGTGTGTATTTGCACAATAAAAATGATATGAATATAAATGTATATACATGTAAATATTTTCAAAATATATACTGTATGTGTCTTTATATATACATAATATATATACACAGTACACACACATATATAATATAAACAAAAACATTTATTTTGGATGCGATTAATCACAATTAATCATTGCCCAGCACTAATTATATATAAATATATTACTTATATGAGTACTACATAATATAAGTTCTAAAGAATTTATCCATTTGACATTCCCAGTCTGATTTTTTTTTTGAGGGGGGGGGGGTTTCTCTGATTATTGAGCCCCAGGATGCTACTTTAGTATTATTTATGTACCATGATAGTATTTATTAATATTTTAAATTAGCTTTTATTTTTATATTAAGTTTTTGTTTTAATTAAAGTTTATCATTTACTTTTATGTTTTCTCATGTGTTTTTGGTTTTTTATTAGTATTTATAAATAATTGTATTTAGTTTTCATTTATTTTTTACTGAAAATTATCTGTAATAGTTTTGGCTACCATTTATGCTTATATGTTTTCATTTTGATTTAAGTTTTAGTAATTTTGTTAGGTTTTTTTTTTTTATGTTTTTTTTCTTTAGCGGTTTAAATTTTAGCTTTAGTAATTTTGGTACTTAAAAATATATTTATTTGAAATAGCTGCCAAAGCAACATTTCTAATTTTCATTTATGCTTTTTAAATCGCCATCTTTATGTAATATTTCTATGTAATAACATTTTTATTTCACTTAGTGAAAATGACTTGTAATAGTTTTGGTTGCCATTTAAAATATTGATGCTATCCAGAATTTAATTCTACTCATATAATAATTGTGCATTAGTGTTAAGTAATCATTATAATTTTTTGTGTGTGTATCCAGTGTTACTTTAGCATTTTTATATATTATTATATTATTTACTAGTATTTTCATGTAGCTTTTATTATGATATTTTTATTTAATTATTAGAAATTGTATGTTTTTTATAATCATTTTCTTTTTCTTAGCTTTAATTTATTTTTTATTTTAATTTTAGTTTTAGTCATTTTAATACTTCAACTTGCTTCGCGTTATTTGTGAAGGCAACATTTCTAATTTTCATTTACGTTTAAGTTTTTCCATCAAATATTTATATTTGTATAAGTAGTAGTCAACATTTTCAACACTTGGCTATCCAGTGTTTTGTTGTACTCATGTAAATAACTGTGCATTAGTGTCAGCGGATCCTGATTTCTGCTTGTTTTTCCACACTGAGGCACAAGTTGAAATGACG